TCCTCTGGGACGGCTTCCCAGGCAGGCCCTGTCCCGGGGCCAGGCAGCTGTGCTGCGACATACGCTCCGCCCAGGGAGCGCTTGCACTTGTGCTGCCTGCTGCCCGGGACCCCGGCCACGGCCTGGGAAAACTCCCCCGCTCCCGGTTTACCGGCAGGGAGGAGAGGCTGAGGAGCAGCCCCAGCAAGAGAAGCCCGGCCTGAGCGTAGCCGGGACCCTAGAGAGAAGGGAAACGGAGTGAGGGGATTGCTGGAGTCTTGCAGCTGCTCCCTCTCCTTCCCTCTCTCCTCTCTCTCTCTTGCCCCGCCAGCGCAGGCCCTGGTTATTTTCCTGTTGTCCAGGCTCCTTCCCCCCTCTCCCTGCTGTTTCTCTGGCCTCGCTGAGGTTCACTGCCCTCCTCATCCATCGCTGCCAGTGATGCAGCATCCCGGCCTCCCCCTGCCCCGTCGTAGGGCACATGCAAAGCTGGTGCCGCTGCCCGCGGCCCCCGCGCTCCCCCGTGGTCTTGGGCTGTCCGGCAGGCTGGAGCCCTGGCCGGCCGGCTGGGATACGAGCCAAGCCAGTTCAGCATCCAACACTTGGCTGAAACGAAAACGTTTTCCATCTCATGTTCTCTTCATCTGCGGATGGTGTAACTGGATCAGACACAGGGAGCAGGTTTATCAGCACCGCAGGCCCGGCGCTGCGCGTTGCTCTTGGCCTCTTCAACTCTCGTGGACTTTGCCTGACGTCTGGCTGGGGCTGGGGCAGAGAGCGCAGGCCGCGCCGGAGGGCAGGGACCGGGCACCGTGCACAGGGTTGTTCCTGAGCTGCCCCCGGGAGTTTCCTGGAGGCGTGCAGGATTGCGAGCGAGCTCTGGCGGGCAGGGCAGGGCGGGGGTGGCCTTGGGCGATGCCGTGGGCCCCCGCTCCGGAAGGCAGCTGCCGTGACATGTTCCTCTGCACTTGTCTGCCGCCTCCCCACCCAGCGGTGACAAACGGCCAGGAGGCCTCATGGCCTGGGGCACCGGCACTGACTCGGTGCAGCCATGGGCAGAGCCCTCCCTGCTCGGCAGCAGAGGACTGAGTGCGTGGATGGTGCTGGGGGCTTTGCGGCTTGTCCCCTTCACCCCTCGGGTGCACGTTGCCTGCAGGACTTCAGGGGCATGCTTGGGCCCCCCGAGCGCCGCCTCCTGCAGCCGTGCAGCGTCTCCTTGGCCCTGGACTCTCCGCGCCTCGCCAGCCGCTGGGCGCTCCCCACTCTCCCACTGCTGCTTCCTTCTTTTACATATGCCTAAAAATAGCTCCCGAGCACTGGCAGCCACCCCCTCGGTGCAGAGCTGCGGTGGCGGCGGTGCTGCACGGAGCAGCCAGGTGAGCCGTGCAGAGAGGCAAAGGGAGGGCAGTGCCAAGAGCTGCGAGGACCGAGGGATCCAGCTGGGAGCAGAGCTGGGCACGGGGTCCACGGGGCAAGGAGAACCCTGCCTCGTCGGCGTCGTCCTGGAGGAAGCTCTGCGAGGAGCACGGTCTGCGTCATCCTCCGTGTCTCCCCGAGGCCCCGGGCGCTTCCTTGGTGACTGAACACAACGAGCCCTCTGGGAGTGCAGCCGCAGCTGCAGGCTCGCCCTGGCTCGGGGGACCGGGGCTGGGCGCCGGGGGGATGTGCTTCCCCAGCAATGCGCTGCTCCCTGATCTGTTCCCGCAGCTGCGCCACATCCCAGCCAGGCTGTCGGGGTATCGCCGGGGGGGGCTGGCGCCGTGTGTGCCGAGGGAGTACGGTTGTTGTCTGCAGTGTTGACGGGGCGTGCGTCCAGGATGGGCCCGCGACGCGCTGCCCGCTCAGCGAGGGCAGGTTCGCTACCACGTCACTCCTCCGAGAGCTGGAGGCGAAGGGCCGCGACCTGGCATAGAGATGCAATGCGCAGGAAGTGTGGGGGGAGCAGCGAATTCTCCCCCTTCGTGGCGTTTGCTTTAGCCCCTTCTCCCTGCCCCGGCTGGGGACATGGCAGGCCCCCGGGTCCCCCTGTCCTGGCAGCGTCCAGGCCGTGGCAGCCCTGCATGTCGGGATCTGATCTGAGTGCTGAGGGTGGAGCTGGGCGGCTGGCCTGCTGCGGAGGGTATCGCGCCTGTGCAGGGCCAGCGGGACCTGGGGTTATCACTGGAGCCAGGCAGTCGGGCTCGTGTGACGCCCAGAGAGCGCCGGCATGGGGGCAGGGACGTGACCGCAGCAGGGCTGGGGGAGGGAGGTGTCACCTGCTGGGCTCTGCCTGCTGGAGGCAGTAGCGTGGGTGGGGCAGCAAGGGCTTGGGCCTGCGTGCTGCCAGGTGCAGGGCTGCCCCTGCTGTGACTGCAATGCCCGGGGGGGGGAAGCACCATGCTGCTGCCCCCAGACCCGCTGCTGGGTGCAGGCTGCGCTGCTGCATCCCTGGTCCGGCTGTGCAGGGCAGCCCCTGCTGTGGAAGGACTCCCAGCAGATTTGGGTGCCCCGCTAGTCCCCCTCCCCAGCTGCCCCCATTACAGCTCTGGGCCAGGAGCGTGTCTCAGCGCTGGGCAGAGCCGCAGGGCAGGTGAGTTTGACCCCTCTGCTTCGCAGGCCAGCACAGAGGGGTTTGGTTCCCAGCTACCCCTAACCAGCCCCAGCCCCAGCCCCAGCCCCAGCGACACGTATGGGGCAGGAGGCTTCTCCCGGCCGTGCCCTGGCAGAGCACAGGAGCATCTCCTTGCCTCCAGGCGGCCCCAGCTCCTCCGTCGCTGCTGGTCGAGGGCCCGTGGAGCCCGTTTCCACTTTGCTCTGCTCCCTGTAGGTTGGTCTCCAGGGGCCCCGGTCCTGACGGGCCCCTCGCCCTGCCCTAGTGCCTCATCCCCTCCCCAGCTGTTCCCACTCGTGTCCGCAACGCAAGGCCCCTACAGAAAGCCGGGGTGGGAAGGAGGCGGCTGGCTCTGTTCACAGGACCCCCATCCTCGCAAAGCAAGGCAGGTGCTGCCGTGAACATTGCCTGCGTCTTCGTCCCCAGCCGCAGGGACGTGGACGCTGAGCCTTGCGTCGCACACGCACGGGTCCCCTCCCCTTGGGCAGCTGCGCTGCACCTGCGCCTGTTTGGCCCCAGGTAGCAAGAGGAGCTGCGACAGCCGCCTGGACCAGGGTTAGACGAGCTGCTGCGTCTGGGGTTGGACGAGCACTCGCCTGAGCAGCGTGCGTGCGCTTGGCCACGGGCAGACCTGAACGGTGGGGAGCGAGCGAGGGGGACCCGCACCAGTTTCTCCTGCCCGCTGGTGCAGAGGCCGTGCGCAACAACTGGGCAAGCGCGGCGGCTCCTCCGTGCTGCGTTCTGTCCTGGCTCGGCGCGCGGCTCCCGGGCCAGGTTGGCCGCAGACCCCCGCTGCCCCGGGCAAGGAGTTTGCTTCCTGCGCTGAAGCCTGGCCTGGTTGTAGGGCGCCGGGTGCTCCTTGCGCAGCCCCCGCGCGGTCAGACAGTCGCCAGCCAACAGCCGACAGGCCCCGCTGGGCTCCCCGCCGCCTGCGCGGGCTCTGGGGGAAGCCCCACCCGAGCGCCTCGTCCGGGGAACAAAGCAAGCGGCTGAGACCTCCCGGCGCAGCCAAGGATTCGCCTGGAGACCGAGCCTGGCGCGTGAGTGCGCGGCCTGGACGGACGGCTGTGTCCCAGAGCCGTGCTGGCCCCGTCGGCCACGCTCCCCTGTGGGCCTGGGCCCTGCCCTGCAGCCTGGTGGTGGCTCATGGGCACGTGATGGTGTTTGCAAGGTGATTTTCCAGGGAAGGTTTGCAGGAGGTGGGGCCAGCAGCTCCCAGCCCCATGGCTGGGGTGCACCACACGCTCCCTGCTGAGCTGCTTCCTCGGCCCCTTGATCGAGCCCCCAGAAGCCGCCAGCTGCCCCCCGTCCCGGTGCGCTCAGGGTGGGACACTCGCGCCTGCTGCCCCCTCCCATGCACGCACCGGGCCCAGGACGGAGAGGAGCCGGGGCTGTCCCAGGGACGGGGCTCCCGGGGCTGCGGGTCACGCTGGAGGCAGGTGATCGGGGAGCTGCACACGGGCCCCATCCATCCCCCGCCTGCTGCATGCGAGCTGCCAGGCTGCGCTCCCGGTGCCCTTGCGCCCGCTGCCAGCACGCGGGGAAGGAGCTGACCCGGGCGGGCCAGGCTGGCTGGCAGCATCCCCAGTTTCTGTGCTGGTCTTTGTGTGAAACACGTGGAGCCGGGGCAGGCAGAGAAGGGAGAATAGAGGCGCTTTGTGCCTCGCTGCTGTGGGAACAGGCCACGGGCTGCCTGCCCGGCCCCGCCACCCTCCCAGCCCACTGGGACTGCTGTGTCATTCCTGCAGCGCCTGCGCCGTGCCGTGCCGGGACAGGCTGCCCGGGCCACGCCTGGCCTGGCGATCGGACCCTGGAGCGTGGGCTCATGTCCCGGCTGCGGGAAGTGGGGAGTGATCCTGGGCCTGCACCGCCCGCTTTCTCGGGGGCCTGGGGCGATGCACGCTCTGGCCCTTGACCGTGGTGCTTCCCCCACTCCCTGCCAGGCCTGGCTTGGGGGCTGCCCCCGCCCCGGTGGCCCACAGGCCCTGGGCAGATGGAGCAGGTTGGGGGAGACCAGGGGGTCGGGCTGGGTTCGAGGCCCGATGCTGCCAGCTGCTGGGAGTCTTCTGAGAGGTGCCTCGAGTTCTGCCTGCTCTCTGTGCAGCCACCGTGCATGCACATGTGCATGAGTGCCTGCACACTTGTGCGCACGTGTGTGACAGCAAGTGTTGTCCTCTCCCCCAGGGGTACAGAGAAGGGGGCTCTGGCCCTGGCATTGGCTGCAGGAGCCCTTGGCCCCCGCGCAGCCACACCCCTGCTGGGGTTTTCTGTCTGTCCTCAGCAGGGAGCAGCTGGGGTGGGCACCGTGGGGAGCTGCATGTTGGGGCGCGGGAGCTGCCCCCCTTGCTCTGGGGAGGGAGCAGGGAGGAGAGGAGCGTGCATTCCCGGGGGGAGATGGGGGCACATCCCTGCCCGGCGCGGCGCAGTCCCTGGCGCGGGAGAGGGATGCATGGGGTGCTGGCGGTGCTCCCTGGCTGAGCGGTCCCTGCCTGAGGCCAGGAAGCCTCGAGCCCCGCAGCCCGGCCAGGAGCAGGGCTCTGGCCGTGCAGCCTCACACCCCGCCGGTTCCCGCAGGTGAACCAGGGGAACATCCCCGGCATCCAGAGCACCTTCCTGGCCATGGACACGGAGGAGGGCGTGGAGGTGGTGTGGAACGAGCTGCTCTTCTGCGACAAGAAGGCGTTCAAGGCCCACGAGGTGAGTGGCTCCTGTCCCCATGGGGCAGAGCCGGCTGGGAAAGCCCCCTGCCCTGCCAGCGCCTGGAGAGCCTGGATCTGCATGTGCCCATCATCCTAGCTAATTCACAGCATGGGCTCCCGGGCCAGGGTCTCGGCGATAGCCAAGCTCTTCTGCCAGCGCCCACTGGGGCAGTCCCAGGGACCCCGGTCGTCCCCGCTCCCTGGGCCAGGCACCGAGCTGCTCTGGCTCCCTGCTCTCCCAGAGACCCTGTGCAGCCCCCGGGTGCTCTGTACCCTCGAGACAGCCCTGCGCCACCCTCCCCTGCTCCCCAAGACCCTCTGCCCCGGCCTGCTGCAGTGGCTGTGAGATGCCCCTTGTCTGCTGTCCCCGCAGGAGAAGATCAAGACCATGTTCGAGCAGCTGGTGCTCGTCGACCACCCCAACATCGTGAAGCTGCACAAGTACTGGCTGGGCGCCAAGGACTCCAAGGCTCGGGTAAGGGCTGCTGGGGGTGTTGTGGGGAGGGGCGAGCCCGGGGGTGCCTGCCCTGAGGGGTGTCAGTGCCGGCCGGGGGGGCCGCAGGGCTCCAGTCCTTCCCTGGCCAGTCCTAGATCCATCCCCCGGGGCTGGGGGTGGCTGCGCACGGATGCAGACGGGGCCCTCCGCAGACTGTAGGGTGGGCAGCGCTGTCCCGGGCACTGGCCCGCTGATGCCGTGCGCCCGGCCTGCCAGGTGATCTTCATCACGGAGTACGTGTCCTCGGGGAGCCTGAAGCAGTTCCTGAAGAAAACCAAGAAGAATCATAAGGCCATGAATGCCCGGGTAAGACCCCCTTCCTGCCCTCCCGGCAGTGGCTGGGTGGGGTGCGCGCGTGGCATAGACAGGTGCAGTCGGTGCCAGGGGGAGGAAGCCCCCTCCATGGATCTGGGCGCAGATGCCCTTGCAGGGACAAGCCTGGGGCCCTCGGCCCCGCTCCCCCTGGTGCTGGGCCAGACCAGAGACCAGCTTCCCCACCGCCAGGCATGGGATGACCCCGACGTCTGGGCTCCCCAAGCCCGGGCCACAGCCCTCCCTGGCCGGGAGCGTCGCCGAGCACCAGGCGAGCTCTGGCTCAGCGCTGCAGGACTCTGCTCCTGGCCGTGCTGGTAAACACCACTTCTGCTGCGGGCGCCGTGCCAGGACCCGCTCCGTGCAGGCAGCGTCGGGTTGCAGGAGAGCCTGTTCCCTGCTTGTGTGGGCAAGTCCTGGGTCCAGGGACAGACACGGCTTCAGAAGCGTGCACGTGGCCTTCGGCCTGCCAGTGCTGTCCTGAGCGGGAGCCAGCAGGACAGTCGGAGCTCGTGTCTCCTGCCGGCTGCAGGCAGCACCGGGGCCCTGGGGCTGGGCTCCCCCGTTGGGGCAGCGGGGTCCCGGGTGCTGATCAGGCTCCTCCGTCCATGCGGACACTCCCATCTCTCCCCAGGCCTGGAAGCGCTGGTGCACCCAGATCCTCTCGGCTCTCAGGTAAGCCCCTGCCCCGGGCTGCGACCCCCGCGCTGCCCCAGGCCCAGCTGCAGCCAGCTTAGCAGGGCCGGTCCTTTCCGCAGCTTCCTGCATGCCTGCAACCCACCCATCATCCACGGCAACCTGACCAGCGACACCATCTTCATCCAGCACAACGGGCTCATCAAGATCGGGTCAGGTACTGGCGGGGCCGGGGCCGGGGTCGGGGCTGGGGCTGGGGCTGGGGCTGGGGCATCGGTGGGGGCCGGATGTACCGAGTGGCTTGCGAGGGGCTGCGGTGCCCAGTGTGCCAGGGCTGGGATCATGCTCTGTCCCCTCTCGCCCCCGCTGCACCGTGCCACGCTGCGTCACCTCTGGACCTGCCCCGGCTGCAGTCTGGCAACGGGTGTTTGTGAATGGTGAGTATCCCCCAGCAGGCACTGTTCCCAGCCCCCTTGGCTGTGGGGTGTCCTGGGTGCAGCTCCCCCCAGCACAGGGATGGGCCTAGGCAGCACGGGCCTGGCATGGGTCGCGGCCTGGCCCCAGCCTGTGGGGCACGGGGGCAGCCCCCAGAGGGAGGGGGCGCAGGGCTCTGCCGGCCCAGGCAGGCTGCACCGCTGGGAGCAAACGTAGAGGCGCCTCGACCCGGCTGAGACTCACTGCGCCCGTGCCCGCCCGCAGCCCTCCCCGACCACCTCCGCAGCCCCATCCGCACCGAGAGAGAGGAGCAGCGCAACATGCACTTCTTCCCCCCGGAGTATGGCCGTGAGTTCGAGTGCCGCGGGGGGTGGACATGGGTCCGGGGGCTGTGGGACGGGACGTGGGGCAGGTCCACAGGGGGGGCAGGGGCAGGGGCAGCATGGAGCAGGGGGCCGGCGCTGGCCTGGAGCCCTGTGGTGCGGTTTGGTTGCAGGAGAGGCTGACGGGACGGCTGTGGACATTTTCTCCTTCGGGATGTGTGCCCTGGAGGTAGGGAGCAAGAGGACCCTACCACAGACCAAGGTGCCCCCCTGCCCTTCCCTATCTCCCGAGCCTGCGGGGACCTGGGGCCCGCGCCCCTGCGGCCCCTTGCTGCGATGGGGAAGCTCCAGGCAGAGCGCGGCCCCTGCCAGGACAGCATGGGAAGCCTGCCCCTGCCCTGTGCCATCCTGAGGCTGCTCTCCCATGACGGCCCATCCAGCCCCGTGGGCAGGCACGGCTGGCCTGCACCCTCCCCTGCGGCCATGGGGGCAGCTGCTGCCCCAGGGCTTCCCACTGTCCTCTGCGGTCCAGAGGGAGACCAGAGCTGAGCAGAGAGGTGTTGCACAGAGCTCGGGGACCCAGGAGACGGGGGGTGAGCCGGTCACGGCCACCGGGGCACGATGCCCTCGTGCAGTGGGGGAGGACGGCAGCGGGAGCCCTGAGAGCATGTGGGCCTCAACCCAGGGAGCGGGGCTGGGGGGCGGCAGGGACGCAGCTGAGCTCTGCTCTCCCCCAGATGGCCGTGCTGGAGATCCAGAGCAACGGGGATGCCCGGGTCTCGGAGGAGGCGATCACTCGGGCCAGGCACTCCCTGGACGATCCCAACATGCGGGTGAGCAGAGCTCCGAGCCCGGCCAGGCAGCTCCGGGGCTCAGCCTGTCTCTGGGGTCCCACGGCTGCCCCAGCCTGTCCCGGGGGCCTTCTGCCACGCAGGACCCCACCGGCAGCCGGTCAGGGGCATGCAGGGGCTGCTGGTCCGCGAGGCGTTGCAGGCAGGTCAGGTCTCTGCCTGCTCCAGGATTGGCGGGGGTAGGACCTGAGACTGGCAGCAGAGCCCAGCGCATGGTGCCTGGAGCACGGCCTCTGGGCCTGCCTCTGCCACCACCGAGAAGCAGACAGGAGCAGGAGCAGGACCCGGCGTGTCCCTGGCCAGCGCTGGGCTCCGCCACCAGCCCCCAGGCTGGGGCTGCATACAGACCCGCCCAGGCAGACCTGCCGCAGCCCCCGCAGCCTCTCGCTGCCTCGTCGGGACGCGCGCAGGCAGTTGTGGAGCGGGAAGCCGGGCCATCCCCACGCACGCGCTCCCCTGGGGATGCTGGCAGGCGTCACCGGCTGCGCGCGCTGCACGTCCCGGGGATGCTGCTGTTGGAACGGAGCCGCGGAGCCCCATGCAGGGGCCCGCCGTGCCGTGCCGCTGTGGGGAGGCAGAGGCTGGGGAGGAGACAGGGCTGGCCGTGGGGCTGCGGCAGGGGAAGGCCTCTTGGGAGCAGCAGGCCACGGGGACCAGGCCTGTGGGGGCAAGGGATGCCAGAAGACGGTCCTTTGCACCTCATGCCCCTGCCTCCCCCTGCCAGGAGTTCATCCTGGCGTGCCTGACCTTCAACCCGGACAAGCGGCCGACGGCCCACAACCTGCTCTTCCACCGGGTGCTCTTCGAGGTCCATTCCCTCAAGCTGCTGGCCGCACACTGCTTCATCAACAACCAGTGTGAGTGGTGGGGGCATGGCAGGGGCGAGTGGGCCCAGTCTGCTCCAGAGCAGGGCTGAGGGCCAGGCACCGGGACCCCCGTAGGGAGGAGACCCCGCCGGAGCTCCCAGCTCAGTGCCGCTCCCTTGGCCTTGCTGTAGACCTGATGCCGGAGAACGTGGTGGAGGAGAAGACAAAGGAGCTGGATCTGAACATGGTGATGGCGGAGATCCGACGCGAGGGGCAGCCCTCGGTGCAGTGGAGGTGAGAGCCAGGGAGGGGGCATCCTGGGGGGTGTGGGATGGATGGGGACTAGGAGCCCCCATAGCCCACCCAGGGAGCCGGCTGGTCCCAGCCTCCCGGCCCCGTCACCCCTGCTCCGTGCTGTGCCAGCCCCCGCGACAGCCCCTTCCTGCCTCCCTCAGGTACTCGGAGGTCTCCTTCCTGGAGCTCGACAAGTTCCTGGAGGACGTCAGGTGAGAGCGGGGGCCGCGGGTGTCTCCCGAGCCCCGGCCGTGTCTCGTGCGGTGCAGGGGCTGTCAGGCAGGGCCCTCCACACCTGGGCTGGTCCAGCTGCCAGTCCCGCTGGCTTCTCAGCCGTGCCCGGAGCCGCGTGGGGCTGCCACCCTCGGGGCAGCGCGCTCAGCAGCGCGGGCTTTGGCTGAGGGGCTCTGGGCCTGTTCCCGATCTGCCCCTGCACCTTTCCTGAGCTGCTGCCTTGCCCTTGGTGGAGCTCAGGCCCCGGGCTGCAGTCAGAGGTGTCCAGGGAGCGGAGGGACTGCCCCAGCCCTGACCCTGGCTCGACTGCCCTGCCTGGGCTGGCGTCGGCTCCTCCTCACCTGTTTGCATCTGCGTCAGGAACGGGATCTATCCCCTGATGAACTTCGCTGTGACGAGACCCCTGGCACTCCCGCGGGCACTGTCCCAACCCCAGGAGGACCCCCAGAAAACCAAGACTCCTACCCCCGAGCCCTTCGATGTGGAGACGAGGAAGGTGAGGACGGGGCAGCGGCTCTTGCTGCCGCTGGGGGAGGCACCCTCACGCCCTCGCCCTGGGGACCGCTCTCCCCCTGGCCTCTTGGGGCTCCCCTCAGGACGGGGTGGAGGCAGCCCGTCCTCAGCCCAGACCCAGAGCAGCCGGCCTGGTTCTGGCTCTGTGGCTCGGCTCGTTTCCCAGCAGGTCTGTGGGCAGCGCCGGGGCCCAGAGCTCGCTGCACCTTGAGGCTGGGGTGCGGCTCATGCCGGAAAGGCTGCAGGGGGGCTCCGATCCTCACTTGGCTCCGAGGCTACGGCAGCGTCCCGAGACCACCGCCGCGCTCGGGCCCCTTGGTGCTGGGTGTGCACAGAGGGCGAGAGACAGTCCAGCCCAGGCGCTACAACCAGAGTGGGGACAGTCGTGGTGGGTGGAGGGCGCCCGGCGGTGCGGAGTCACAGACCCTCACCACTTGTTTCTCGGAGTCACTGGAGTTAGTGCCAGAAGGGACTGCTAGCCTCGTCACCTTGGGGCTTGGTCCTTGGGTCTCTCCAGTGCATCTAACAGTCCTCACCGCAGCAGGTCACTGGCCACCATTGTCCCCCACTTCCCCTTGTCGCTGCACAACTGGCCTCCCTGCCCTGCGCGGCGTTAGTGACAGGTCAGACCAGGGCCTGTCTGGGATGGTTCGGATAGGGGCGGCCCTGCCTCGGGCTGGGGACTGCAGTAGCAGTGACCTCCGGGGTCCTTTCCAGCCCCACTGCGCTGTGCTATGAGCCGTGGCTACCCCCACGGGGAAAAATTGTGCCATCCTCCACTTGAATTGGTCTGGATCATGCTTCTGGCCACTGGTTCCCATTTCTCCGCTCTCTCCTGGCTCCAAAACCCTTCCGTACCCGGTGTTTCCTGTCCATGAAGGTGTTTCTGTGCTATAATTCAATCACCCCTCCTTCTGGATGATAACCTAGAGACTCAGCTCTTTCCATCCCTCTTTTGAAAGCAAGTGACTTGGAGAAGGGCACCTTGTGCCCAAAGCTTGTCTGATGTCTCTCCCAACTCTGCGTTGGTCCAAGAAAAGATACCACCAAAAAACCCCTTGTTTCTTGCACATGTTCTGGACCATTGCAGCACCAATGCTCTGGCCTCGCTCTCTCTCGGGCATCTTCCCCAGCCCTCAGACCATTTCTGAGGCTCTCTTTTGCAGGCCTCCTACTTTTTAACAATGTCACAAGTAGATAAGACGACCTTCCTCTTCCCGTTTGCTGCTGCCCTGCAAATAGTGGTAGGAGTGCAGAGCTCGTGCTGAGCTGCATGTCCGGTGTGACCCCTCGCTCCTCGGCTCTGGCTCTGCAGGAGGCTGCCCTCTGCTCTGGAGTCCAGCTGCAACAGCTGGTTCCCAGGCCCGTAATCTTGCTTTTGGGGAGGGCTCGTCTTGCCAAGAGATTGCGGTTCCTCTGCACCACTGCCCTGTCCTCCTCCTCCCTCCCAGCGATCTCGCAGGCATTATCTGAATCCCGCTGAATCCGAGCAATGCTGAGCCATGACGGGCCCAGCACCCGGCCCTGCAGAACCCCCCAAAAACGCTGCCTCGCAGGGATGATTCCCTGCTGGCAGCTGCTTACGGAGCCCCGGCATGTAGCCAGGTCTTAATGCATTTGACTTGTGCTACATCATAGTCAATGCAGCTCATTTGTACTGGGACTATCCTGTGGTAGCAAGTCTGACACGAGGTCTAAGTACCTTTATTTGCAGGAGGGCTGTCCAGCTTCTTAGTGGATGGGGGCTGCGTTGATGGGTCCACACCAGCATGGGCCACAAGTCCCCCAGGCGCTCCCCCGCTGCACTGAGCCTGCAGGTGCTCCCTACCCCCGTGGCACCATGCACGTGGGTGCACGGGTGCAGGTGCCCCAGCTCCACCTCAGCTGCCACGAGGGGGCCATGGGCTCCCCCAGCACCGTGGGCTGCGTCGTGCCCCTCCGCCCACCCCCTGTGGCTGGGCAGGAAGCAGAAGCTAGAGGGAGGGGAAGCCAAGAGCCTCCAGCTGTTGCAGCTGCAGCCAGAGCGATGGGGGGAGCTGCCAGGAGTCGCAAACTAACCCCTCGTGGACCAGCTGGACCGCCCCGATCTGCCCGGGTGCCTTTGTCAGCCAAACAAGCGTCTTGTTGAAGGGTGGCAGGAGATGCCTTTGGCAAGACCCATTTCCAAGGAGCCACCTGCTTTAACTGGTTAGTCATCGCGTTCCTACTATTTGAATCCTACGTTATGGCCATGTAGTCCTGTAGGAGCTTTCCCAGTGTCTCGCCTGCCTCACTGGTGCATAAATGCCCAGGATGTCCTGCTTATCCTTTCCGAATCTTGGCGCGACGTTATCACTCTTCCAGTCATCTGGAATAGCGGTGGTATTCCACGATGTGTCCCAGCCAAAACCGGGAGTGCTTTAAAAGGAAGGAATGGAGGAAGAGGCGCCAGTCGAGATAAGGCAGAACTTCTGCAATGTAGAAAATTGGTAAGGGAAGATAAAGGTATCAGGGGTCGGGGGGGATGCCGTCACTGACACGTCCTGAGTGCACTGCGTTCAGAGGTCTCTGGACTGCTGATGCTCCTGCTTCATAGGGGTGCAGCTCGAGGTCCAGGATCATGTTAGAAAAGCCTTATAACACAACTGCCTCCTGCTCCTGCCTCTAAGCCAGCTGGCGACAGGCACGGCCGGGACAGGGCACCAGGCTTGTTGCTCACTGGAGCCCAGTCTTAAGGGTCAGATGTCGCCGTGGTACAGACGTGGCTGCGGCTGTGGATTCTCAGGATGAGCAGGTGGAACGGGACTGCTCTGGGGCACCCACAGCCACTCAGTCAGGCCTCGTATGCCTGGGAATGGGGCGGGGTGGTAGGGCGTCCGTCAGAGCAATGCAGTCATGCAGCGTGGCCAGCGACAGGCAAAGCAGAAGGAGGGGAGATGAGTGTGATGACGTGGCCTTGGTGTCTCCTAGGTGGTGCAGATGCAGTGCAACATGGAGCTGAACGAAGACAAGAGTCAGTGGCATGTAAGTGAGCAGCGCCGGCTCTGTGCTGCCCGCTCCAGGCTGCAACAGGACTGATAGTGTTTATAAAGCAGCAGCACCCCATGGCCTCAGCAGGCTTGGGCCCATCCTGCCGTGTGCTGGGTGGACATGCGGTGCCAGGGAGTCCACCCCGGCAGCGTGGCCCACACAGCTCCTGTCTGGTGGGCAGGTGGCTCTCCGAGGCAGTGGGGGAGACAGTCCCACAGATGAGTGTTTCCCAGACAGAGGTATTTGCTCTTGGCTTTGCTTCAGTGTGAATAAATCCAGCACTGATTTCCCCAGTGGCTTCTCAGCCCAGCTTCCTGCCGTAGGCTGTCTGGGGGCGAGCAAGGCAGCAGCTCTCCATGTCCGCTCCACCTCCAGGCTCCCTGCTCTCGCTGCCCAGGCCCTGCACGCACCCAGCCCCAGCAGGGAATGGCTCTGCTCCTGGGTTGCTGGTTCATGTCCTAGTGTTTCAGGGTGCTGACAGCACAGATCGGCATGAGGAGTCTCCCTTGGAGGGAGGGGGCCGTGTCTGTGGCCTGGCCGAGGTCTGAGGTGCTCTCGTCATTGCCGACAGGCAGCGCTAGGGCATTTCCCAGCCAAACCGACGTTCTCCGGGGGCTCCTTGGCGCATCTCTGCCTGGTCCTTTATCCCCGAGGTCTCGCTGGAGGCGGGGATCCTGGGGCTCATGGCCGGGGCTTCACATGTACACGTGTGTCTCTCTCTGACCCCACCTGTCTCCATTTTAGCAGCTGTATTTCAGCTGTGGGCGAGGAAGGGAACAGTTCTGCTCCTGATGTTCACGCTCAGCCTGCCACAGGGCACAGCTCGTGTACCCCAGCCGCCGGCACGGCCCGAGCACCCGCGCCGTCCTCTAACGCGCGCCCTCTCCCGCCCACAGCTCACGCTCCTGCTGGTCCTGGAAGACAAGCTGCACCGGCATCTGAGCTACGACCTGCTGCCAAGTAGGTGCATTCGTGAGCATCCTCCCTTGATGGGGTGCGGGGGGGGACGGCGGCCCATGGGCTGGATCCTGCCCAGTCCTGGAAAGACACGGCCTGGGCTCCAGTGAGCTCTCGGTCTGCTCCCAGGATGCTCCTCCTCCTTCCATCTCTATGGGAGAGGGCAGGCTGCGTCCCAGCACCCAGGCAGCCGGCACTGGACACTGCGTGAGTGGGGAGGGAAAGCAGGCGCCTGTAGGTTCCCTAGGGAGCTGGGTCACCATGGCCCAGCCTCTGTGACACCTCTCAAAGCTGCTGGTCCCTCCTGAGACCATGGCCGCAGCTACGCTGAAAGGAAAGGCCGTGAGCGAGTGGTGAGCTGTGCTTCTGCAGCACAAATGCTTATGGGAGGTGGCAAAGCCCACGGCCAGACGCCCCACTTCGGCTCCCACGATGGGAGCTTGTCTGCAGCCTGTGCCTCGGGCTGAGCCGGAGCAAATGGGCCGTTTCTCAGCCTCTTGAAGGCTCCGATGAAGCGCAGTGGCTTCTTAACCTGGCAGGGGAAATACCACGTATCTGTGTCCATGAAGGCAGTTTTCCTGAACCGCACCGCAGGTGCACTGCTCTTCTGGCGTGGTTCAGTACCCGCCGAGGTGCAGCTGTTTTAAGCCCAGTTTATGGAAATGGGAGTCTCCTCCCTTGCTTGCTCCGAGGGCCTTACGGCTAAGGGCAAGCAAAACGCGGGGGCATCCGAACCCCAAGCCTCCGGGTTTGGGCCCGCAAGTAGGATGCCCACCAAAGGTTTTGGAAACATCTGAAGCCCCAGGTACGGGTGGAGGATGTTTGCCAGTAACGGTTCTGGACTCTTGGATTTGGAATCAGTTTTGGCTAACTTGGCCTCGGATACACATTTTTAAAAAAACAGGCTGTTTCTTCAAGGGCGCTCTGCCGGGACTGGCCCGCTCTGCCCGTGGGGCGGGATCACATGAAGCTCGTTTCCCCCCAGGGCTCAGGTGAGCACTCGCCTGCAGATGCTCTCCCTGCCCTGGGGTCGGCCGGCTGTCCCTGGGCCACTTGGCAGCACCTGCCCCGAGGCCAGCGGCTCTGCTCTGGCAGAAGCTTCCAGCTGCGCTGCGCCCCAGGGCGGTGCATGAGATGAGATGTCACGGACGGAGGGGAGGGGGACATGAAAGTTGCTTTTTCTTGCCTCACCTCATCCCTTTTTCCACAGCTGACAATTCCAAGGATTTGGCCATGGAGCTGGTGCACTACGGGTTCATCCATGAGGTGAGCTGCTTTCACGGCCCTGGCCAGGCCCCCTCTGCCGGGATAGCAGCACGAGGCCCTGTGCCTGCCCTGCATCCCTGACCCCAGGGCTCTGAGTGCTGGAGAAGGGGGGCGAGCTTGGGCTGGAGATGCTGCTTCAGCAGACTCCCCCTTACATGGCACTGACCTGGGCACAGCGTCAGGGGCACCAAGTGCAGCCGGACTCTGAGGCCTGAATGCCAAGGAGTTGCATGGGCAGAGAGACCAGGCAGCCTCCTGCCTCCCACTGACACTGGCCCGGGGGGTGGGGGATTTGGGTGCGAGGCCCCACACCTGTCTCCCATGTCCCCGAGGGTGCTCGTCGGCTGCAGCACTAGGACTAGCACTAGGTCTGTGGCACCAGGTACACCGTGGGCTGGTAGCGTTTGCTGCTGATGCAGGTTTGGGGCATCAGCAGGCCAGAGGAGGATCAGGATATTGCACAGGAAGAGGTCCCAGAGGACCAGAAGGAGGGACAGGGGTGCAGTGTAATGCCACAGACCGCAAGGCGAGGACATAGGGAACAGCAGCAAGTTCCTGCTGCCAGCTACAGAGTGTAAATTGGAAACAGCTGCGGGGAAGGACCTAGGGCTGCAGCTGTGAGAAGCAAAACTCCCCTGGGCGGCGGCGGCAGGCAGGAAAGCATGAATGCTGTCGTGCACGGCCGTGGTGCGAACTGCTCTGGACACCTCCTACCATCTGCCCCCCTTCGAGAGAAGCACTGAAATGGGGCAGTGCAGCAGCCGGGGCTGGGCTGACCCAGGGGCCCTCGTGGGTCCCTGTCCCTAACTGCAGTTCTGAGCTGACTTTGTCCAGCCTGTGCCAGGCAGCTGCTCCAGCCCTCCCCTTTCTCCTTCAGTCCCTTCCCACCAGCTCCACTCCGTACCCACCCTCTGGGGTCGTCCCCCACTCAGTCCCCCTTCCCTTCCCTTCCCTCTCCCCTCCATCAGTGTGACTTTGTCCTGAGTACACCCACCCATAACCTGCACCGAGCCATGCACCAGGCATGTTGTTTCTGCCATTGAGCTGTTTGCCCTGTTCACGTTACCCCTCATCCCTGCGGGCACATCTGACCTGGCCCTGCCTCAGCTGTGAGCTCTGTGGGGCAGGGACTGCTGCTACCACGGTTTTGAAGCACCTGGCCAACGGCTCTCCCCCAAGAACTACCACGACCAACACCATCAATAATACATCCCTAGTCATGCTTGCAGTCTCCCCCTCCTTGGTGAGACGGCAGACAGGAGTTGGTGGCTTGGTCAGGCGCTGAGTAGGGGAGCACAGGGGAGGCCCCTCATGCAGAACCAACTAACCGTGCTTGTTCCTGGCTCCTAGGATGACTGCGAGAAGCTGGCCAACTTCCTGGAGAGCACATTCCACAAGTACTGGTCTGCTCCCTTGTGAGTCACCTCACAGAGGTCCGGGGCAGAGAGGGGCCTGCACAAGAGGAGATGGGAAGCGTGCTTGGCTGGAAGGAACCGTGAGGGTCCCGACCAAACTCCCCCCTGCAGAAGTGACCTGGCCATTCATTCCCGGCTGTGTCTCTACAGCCTGTGCGAGGGATACATTCTGCCCTGGTTCGGAAAGACAACGGCAAGAGGAGGAAAGATCAGCGAACAGGAGGGATGACACCTGTATCACTGCAACTAGGAATGGGCACGACTGCACCCTCCAGTCCCCACCCAATGCAAGCGAGGGAGAGTGGGTGGAGGAGTATGTGTGGCACCTGCAGCTGGGGCATGGAAGATGTCTCCCCTCCTGTCCCTCCCCGCGGCACGTGGGCCATTGGCCTGCAACAGGGGGGAGCTGAACTGTGGGCTGGTCAGGTTAAAAAATGCAGATAGGTATGAGGTGTGCATCCACCGCGGTGCCGCCCTGCCCTGCCACGTCCCTCTGCCTGGCTGTGCCCCGCTGCCCTCTCTGCTATGCCAACTTCCTGTGCTGCACTGGCTGCCTGTGTGCTGTCAGCTTCCCGTGCTGCCGTGGCCGCATTGCACTGTGCCACCGACTCCCCGTGCTGCACCGGCTGCCTGCATGCTGCCAGCTTCCCTCACTGCTGCGGGAAGCTGCATCCTGCATCCTCTCACTGCATCCTGCTGTGCTGGCTTGCCATCCAAGCTGCTTTGCTGAGCTGTTCTGGCCGGGCCTGGCCAGCTGTGTTGCATGTGCAGACTCGCAACCACTGCCAAATCCATAGGTCTATGGAAAGAGCACACCTGACCACGATGCACCAAGTGACGTGTGGTGTCTGTGGATTAAGTACCGTCCATCATCACCATTACATGGAGAAGCTGCGATGTTGCTTCTCTTGGGCCCAGCTGGCTGGGCAGGAAAGACAGGTAAAAGGGGGAAGAGGAGGGGCTGGGTGGAGAAATGTGCTCCAGCTGTTTGGTCCTGGTGGTCTTCTGACTTGTGCCATGGCAAGCCTGCGCTTGACTCTGCAAGCTGACAACTTCCTTTGTCGCAGCTGCTTCCTTTCCCTGATGGCTTATGCTCAGCTTTCTCAGCTCCATCCCCTGGCTGACATGTATCACCAACAAGTTCCAGCTTCATTTCTCCTGTACTGTATAGTGACAAATCCATTAGCTAACCTCTTCACAATGCTGGAAGCACGGGATGGGCCAGACGGGCATGGGGGACAGCCTGAGGTTCAGGAATGAAGCACCACTGCATGAAAGCTTTCTGGCTGGCCACAGCAGACTGTCAGCTCAGCCTCGAGGCTTAGGGATTTCCTCAACTCTTCCCCCTAAAATTATTTTTTCATGGGAAAATTCTCACTAAAAACCCAGTGCCAAAGAACCCCAAATGTGTCATGAAGTGAAACACAAACTGCAGTGTGCTTCAGTGCTGCAAGCTGACAGATTGTTCTGTACGCACAGAAAGGCAAGCCCAGCCACAAAGGAGAGCTGCAGAGCACAACACAGCGACTGGCCTAGGAACCGGAGGCTTGTCACGCTGAGCCTGCGCTGTAAGGCACAAATGGGCTTTGTGACGTATTTGCTTTCTCCATGCCCAGCTAGTACAAAACCAAGCCCTGAGCCTACCCACTGTGCCCAGCACACACACGAAGTTGGTAGTGAGCTCACTGGTTGATTAAAAATCAGTGCAATTCAGAATGCCGTGACTCGACTGCCACAGTTTCTAACTCCTTGATTCAATAAACAGCGACACAATCTCTTCTGCAAAGACAGACTGGAGGCAGAGATCTGAACCTTTAACTATTACAACATATGGTTTAGCCTCTTCTTAATGATCAACCTTCATTTGATCAACCTATGCCGTGGTGTTTATTTTGGGAGGCGGCAGGGAGGGCAGGTAATGGAAAGTTCCACAAAGGCCTCTGAGGCTTGTTTTCAGGTTTGCCCCATTGTTTTTTCACTTGTTAATTAGATCAAACCAGGTTTCCACAGAGGCCATCACATTTCCTCTGCAGCTTGCAGCCTGCCACGTCCCTCTGAAGCCTCTTTCAATTGCTTTGGTAAGGCAGGTGCCACTGTTGAATCGCTTGTGTAAGGTGTGTGCGAGTTATCAGGAACTTTATGGCCAGAGGCACCTTTATAGTCATCTGGTCTGGTCACGGACCTGCCTCCTGCCCACCGCTTGCAGTGAAGCTGTAGCAAAACTTTTTAAAAGACACATCTTGATGTAAAGACTCTAGGTAAAAGGTCAGTTGCATCGCTAGGTAAGTTGTTCCAATGGTCAGTTACCTTCACTCTAAAAATATCAAGTGCCTTATTTCCTCTTGAATTTATCTAGCTTCAACTCCCAACCACCGGATCTTATTATGCCTTTGTCTGCCAAATTAAAGAGCCATCTGAAATCTCCCCGCTGTACAGGCATCTATGCACCGATTAAGTCACTTCTCTGTCTTCTCTTTTTAGACTTAGTTAAACTTATTCAATCTTTTGCTGTCAGGCCAGGTTTTCAGACACTGAATCATTTGCGTGGCTCTTATCTGAATTCTTTCCAGCATCCTTTTTGTCAAGATCATTTCTGAAGCGTGGATGCTGGGGTGAGATGTCATATTCCTGCAGCACTGGAACAACAACGCTTCATACTGATGAATCGCCCCCTTCCTACTCCTTGATATGCCCCAGCTTATACATCCAAGAACTTGTCCCCTGCATCACTGCATCATACTGGGGTTCTTGTTCTGCTGGTTTCCTAATGTGGTGCTAGGACCTCTGCAGTGACAGTGAATCCCAGGACACAGTCCCACATCCTCTAGGTGTGACCCAGAGATCTGATGCTGCATTTTCCTGTGTTTAAAATTCCTGTTCAAGGAAGTTCACCTGTTCTCGCATCAAGAGCATCTGGGAAAACTAGGGGGACACGTTGGGGTGTCAGGGATCTGTTCCACTGCACAAATGCCAGGCTGCCATATGGTCCCACAGAGAGTGCAGCTAGTTGTAAATCGGAACAGCTCTGGCTCCTCTACCTTGTTTCAGGGCAGGAACCATTTCAGGTGGAGAAGCAGGAAGCCAGCTCTCTGAGCATCCTTGATTCTCTTGCGCCAAGTGACTGGTGGAGAATAGAGCCTGGCCCCATGTTTTTAGCATTAACAAGCTTACAGCTTTCTTACCAAGCCTTTGCCTTAGGGCTGCTCTTCCTGGTTCATCAGGATCGAGCCTTGCCATTTCTGGATGTCTAGGAGACTCCTCCTGGATGAAGCTGATGCTGAAGAGCTACCAGGAGGCCTGGAAGAGGCACCTTGGGGCACACGTGTACTGCCCCTGTAGCGATACTGAGACCCCTGCCAAGAAGCAAGCCCTGTTGCGAGCTGAAAAACACATACTTGCTTTTTGGCAGGGGCCCAAAGAGCTGCCCTGCAGGTGGAGCCTTGGGAATGGGCTGCGCAGCCCTGAATCGCTCTAATGGGGAGCGCAACACACATGTGAGCGTGCAGTGCATGTGCACAGGGGCGAGTAAGGGGAGCTTGGCATCACTGCAGAGATGCTACAGACATAACCTAAGGGCAATGGCGTGAAAGCATTTCCTTTCTCGGATCAGACTCCCTGACTTTCTGTCCTTCCAGTCTGACACTCAACTGCATCTGGAAGAAAGCTGAGAAAAACTATTTTCTTTTTTTTTTTTTTTTGAGGTAATCACAAATCCTTCCTCTCTTGTTGTCTAATGATGCTAAAAGATGTTTACATTTTGTTATAGAGGAAAATACCTTTGGATATTATTGAAGTTCATGTAGCTCTTGGTTTCCTACTCAATTTTCAACTTCAGGCACATTTTGTGTTACACAAATTCATCGTGAAGTTTGGTAATCACTAAATACTAATAATTTATTTACCTTATTGATCAGCAGCTTTTGCATTAACTAGTTAGATGACAAATCCATTCATGGAAAACAAGAGCATAAAGCCAGAATACCAAGAAATAAGATGAGCTGTCCTGCTTTTGATACAGATGTGTTATCGACTGTCCTGCCCACTTTCCAGACTATTTTAGAGCCTCACCACCACTGCTGTAATTCTATCTACTTCCTTCTCTTTGATCTCCAACAACAATGGATTCCAGCTGTGCCCTCCGCTGTCATCACTGTCAGGATCCTGGACGACCCTATGAACTTTCCCGATAGGCTTCACAAGAACTTGGATATGCTTGTCACTTCCCTTTTTATTTTCTTAAATTAACTAGTATTTTTATTCACAGCTTGCAATTAGGACTTAACTTCAAAACATGTAAAACATTAACTTCACTTGATAATTCAGAAACCTCGGAAGTACAAAAAAATCTAAACAACTAAAAAATGTATATTATTGACTTTAGAAAAAATCATCAGTCTCCCTGAACACACTGCTCTGGTGCTCCACTCTGCACAAAGATGGTTATCCGTGCTAGTCTGAAGACAAACAGAAGCCAGGGCAGGATGGCATCTTTGAGATGAACGGGTTCAGAGAGGCATGACCCCTTGTAGGCAGCGTCCTGCTTTGTCAGGTGCTACGCACTGCACGCTGGCTTCCCACGTGGAGTACGGCCCCAGGACTCAGTCCTGCAGTTCCACGCCCGCTCTTTTAACTGGCCCTAGCAATCTGAGACCGCGATGTCCGGCAGCAGTGAGGTGTCTCCAGGACAAGGTACCTGTTGAGCAGCAGAAGGCTTGTGAGCACAAGGGCAGATTTCATGGAAGCTTGTCTGGGGGCATAATAATGCCCCCTCCCGGGTTTTGGGATTAAGCGCAAATCTGCCCAGCCTCACTTTCCTTAAGTTCTTCACAACCCACTGCAAAAATCCAAGCTACTTCTCTTCCAAATGAGGCAGAAAGAATTATTTCTATTTATAATCACTTGGAAAAGACATAATTAGCACCTATAGAAGTAAAAACCATCTGTGTCTTCAAGCTGTGCTATTCCCTTGCAATCATAATATTATTGCATGCTCTAGATCCTACATATTTCTCTGTGACGTCCCAAGGAAATCAAAACCACCGCACTTATCCCGGTAGAGTTGTTTTAGAGGTGACTGCGGCACGCGCGGTAGCTTTGTGCAGCGGGAAGTGCCGACTCTCACAGACTCTCTGCAGGGTGTGGTAACATTTTGTTCTGCAGCAAATCACGGGCTCCATCTAAGCAACTCAGATGGAGACTGGGACCCTTTGCACCTCATTCCCCAGAGTAAGTGCAGCTGACAGGGATTGCTTCCCCCCAACTGCAGCCACCTGCAGCCTCCTGGGGTGTCCTGTGGAAATGCTGAAGCCAACACTGAGAGATGAAGCTTATCTTGGAGCAGAACATGTAGCAAAGACCTCTGTGAAGAGTTCAAAGTGAATTATTTGCACTGCAGAGGATACAGATCCTGCCACCACTTTGTTCTCAGGGCTTTGTCTGAGTGGTGTGGACCCTTCTGTAGGAGAAAACCTCCATTTAGGTTCAAACACTTGAGCCCAGCCCGCTCCATAGCGCGATGCCATTCTCCTGCCCCCAGGCATGCATGCAGCTTCCCCCCTGGCTTTTGACATGAAGTCTCTAGTTTTCCCTCACTTTTTTTTCTGCTAAGCATCATAGTAGCAGTAAGGAGGGCAGGGTCACTGGACAGGACAGGGAGAGAGGATAGGCATGCACGGTGGGCTCTGCACCCTCCATGCACCACGGCATAACAAGGTGCTGCATTCCACGTGGGAGTGGGAGGGCTGGGGGTGAGAAACCCGAAACGACTGTCTGGAGGGTGGGCGTGAGGGCACAGGCTCCAGCACAGATTGCAAGGGGTGACTCAAGGTCCTGTGGGGTCTGGGTGTGGGCGGTCCACACGTCACATGAAATGATGTCTTGCTCGTCTCTATATTCTGTGAATGTGCCAATAAAGTAGTTGGTATGAGAGAACTGACGTGCAGTAACTCCTTCATGCTGCCACTCCGGCCGTGACCTGGCAAGAGCGGGGAGTAGCAGGGAGCAAGTACGCTAGGGTCTCAGAAGCTGGCTAGGAGACGGCACTGGAGAAGAAGGATCCGTGGACAGGCTGGAAATACTGACGGAGAGGAGGAGACCCAGGAACAGGAGTGACGTGAAGATGAGCAGAGCGGGAGCGCGGTAGTCTTGGGCACTGGGAAGCGAACGAATGCCATTACTGCGGTCTCGGGTGGTTGTCGCAGAGTGGCAGTCTCGGTCGCAGGGAAGCAAGCGAACGCCTTTACTGCGGTCGGGAGGTCGCCGGGGAGTGGTGGTCTCGGGCGTGGGGAAGTGAGCGAATGCCGGTGCTGCGGTCTCAGGTGGTTGTCTCGGAGCAATGGTCTCAGGTGCTGGGAAGCGAGCGAACGCCGCTGCTGCGGTCTCGGGTGGTTGTTGTGGAGCGGCGGTCTCGGGCGCAGGGAAGCGAGCGAACACCGTTGCTGCGGTTGGGTGGCCGCCTTGGAGCAGTGGTCTCAGGCGTGGGGAAGCAAGCGAACGCCGTTCCTGCCGTCTCAGGCGGTCGTTGCGGAGCGGCGATCTCGGGCATGGGGAAGCAAGCGAATGCTGGTGCTACCGTCTTAGGTGGCCGTCACGGAGCGGTGGACTTGGGCGCGGGGCAGTGAGCGAATGCCGTTGCTGCCGTCTCAGGTGGCAACCGTGGAGCGGTGGTCTCGGGTGCGGGGAAGCGAGCGAATGCTATTGCTGCTGTCGCAGGTAGCCGTTGCGGAGCGGCGGTCTCAGGCACTGGGAAGCGAGCGATCGCCGGTGCTGCGGTCTCGGGTGGTTGGTGCGGAGCGGTGGTCTCGGGCGCAGGGAAGCGAGCGAACACCAATGCTGCGGTCTCGGGTGGTCGTCACGGTGCGGCGGTCTCAGGCACTGGGTCTCGTGCGCGGGGACGCGAGCAACCGCAGCGGAGCGGGGTGGGCAGGGGCCGCCGGCTCTCCAGGCCCCCTTGCACCCCGTCACGGCCGCCGTCCGTGGCGCAGGCGAGTCTTGCTCCTCGGTTGGGAGCCTCAGGCAAGGCGGCGCGGATGGCTCCCACGCCGGCCCAGGGAAGGCAGGACCACAGCCGGCGGCATCCCACTGCCATGAACTGTGGGGGAGAGGCGCTGCAGGGCCACGGCCCAGACCCAGGCCCCGCTGCCTGGGGCGGGGAAATCAGGTGGCCACATGGTTGGTGCCACAGGCGCCAGGGCCCGGCCCAGCCTGGCTGTAGCCGCCCTCAGCGGGACCGCCGCCGCCACCGGGCCTCGAACCCTCAGCTTTACACGGGGAGGGGAAGGCTCTGGGGGCGGACCACGAGCAGGCCACGCCCCCCGACAAGGTTTGCGTTGCCCGTCCCTCCCTATCAACCCCGAGCGCGCGACGCGGGACAACTCTCGCGAGAAGCCGTGCTCGAGGCCAGGCGCCGGAAAGGCCTCGCGACAGTTCCCGTTCTCCGCCGCAGCTCTCGCGAGATGCCGTGAGCGAGGCCAGAAAACGGGAAGGTCTCGCGAGAGTTTTCTTTCCTTTCCTTCTCGTTCCGAGCCGTAGATCTCGCGAGAGCTCGTGCAGGCGGCGGGCCGGGGCGACAAGATGGCGGCCACGACGACCATCTCCCTGGTGAGCGGCGCCCTGACCTCCTCCTCCTTCCCTCTCTTCGCGCCGCGGCCGGGCCGGGCCTTTTTGTGCAGGGCCGCCGGGCGCGCGTGGGATGGG